GTGTTCCTTAGAAGCAGGCGTGACAAATACCACTGTGTGCCGTTGCCGGAATCTGCTGCAAAGTTAAATTCCTGGCATAGCTTTCAGACCTGGGATGGACGTTACTGATGGAGAAAAAATGACATGGCATTATATAAAATTCTAGTTGCTTTCCCACCCAGTTCACACTATTCTCTAAATGACATGTACTTTGACTTGTGGTGGGAGGCTTGCACAGTAGCCCATTTCTAAGTGTCAACAATAGACAGCTCAAGAAAAAAAACCGCACGCTTAATGGCAACCCTAAATCCAAATTTATCAAATTACAAACACGAATATCGCATGAGATGATGCTCCATCTCTCCTGTATTCTACGGAAAGTCTCAGCGGTGAAAAGAGGGCCGAAGAGGTTGGGAGTCACGAGACTGTCTTTCAAGCAGCCTCACAGAGACAGTGCCTTGATGAGCTTTCCACAGTCTTGGATGTGCCCATGGCTTCACAGACTTGGAAACCTGATCTGGCAGCAAAGCTGGAGCAAATTCACATCTCAGGGGTGCGCTTACAGCTCACAGAGCACAAACCCTATGGACCGACATCAAGACTCAAGTGCCTGAATTTACAAGGACCGTTAGTGTCGGATGGACCAATGCAGTGCTGGGCCAAACCAGCACATTCTCTTTCTGTGGACACGTCTGGAGGGAGAGTCAAGTGATAATCAGAGGTGGCTTGGCGTTGAAAAGGTGGGGCAAAGGGGATACAGGAAATAAATCAAATGCAAGAACAGAATTCAGATTCTAGTTGATTTACCCTGATGTTTCACACCAGAGAGGAGGTGGCTAAGCAGCTAAGGCCCCACCTCTCTGGGGTGGCTGGAAACCACAGATCTGCCTGTGTATCAACGAATCCTTGTGACTGACATATTTTTCTTTAGATATGCTAAATCGAATTTTGGGAGACAGTCAGTTCCCTAAGGTAACATTTGCTCTCTCTGCCAATGCTATTGAAAGGAATCATCAGGTTCATCCATTCTTCTTTTCTTTTTTTCATTTATATTTCTTGTCATTCTTTCTTTTCTATCCACGCCAGCACCAACAAACAAGCCTCGGTCTCACCTCTTTATGGCAGGGAGCTCCTCAGCTACCTATCCAAGCCTGTCCCATTGCCCAACTCCAAAGACCATGAATATATAAGTCTTTCTTAAACTAAGATTTTATGCATGTGTTTTCCCATTCACCCCACACACACACACACACACACACATACACACACACACATACACACACACTCTGCCAGGAACTCTCAATGACTCCTATTGCTTTCAAAGTTCAAATTGCTTAGCCTGCTGTTTAGATTCTTTCATATCTGTGCCCAATTTATTAACATCTTTTTCTGCTTCATAAACCTTCTACTGCAGTCAAATCTATTGTCTCTTAATAGTCTAAGCTTAAATCCATGCTTCCAATCCGTCCTCGGGTCAACTCAAGATCTGCCTCACCATGCATACCTCTGAAAGCCCACATTTGAGACTCATCTTCCCATTCATCAGGTTCCTTTGGTATAAGTCTATCTGGAAAGTCATTATTATATGCTGATACACTATCTCCTCAATTAGAATAAAAAGCTTACAGGTGGGAACGGTACCTTTTGTCTTAGTTATATTCTGTTTCTTCAGTTCCTTGCTGTCAGGGGTGCTCAAAAAACTAGTGCTTAGAACGGACCTGTCCACTTGTGGGTAAAGCTACTACTGAACTTCCTTCCGAGCCTAAGATAGAACTTGAAAATATTGCCCGTAACTGAAAAGAGGAGCCAGCTAACGCCCTCGGTGTCCCTGGAATATTACGGCTCATGGCTTCTTCTGGGACCTTGAAGTGACTTCAGAAAACCCGTATACTCCCCACAGCCTCATTTGCTCTCTGTACCGTTTGACAGCACAGTTGAAAACACCTTTCAACTATGTTAGTCTCACAGTCAGTCTCCAAGTCCAGGCCTAGCTTTAAAAATGGACTAGACCTCTGGTACATACAGATTGTCACCAGGGCCTTAAACAGCAGGAACGATACAGGCGGTAGTAACATAACAAAGTGTGACAAGGGGGTCCCTCCTACTTGATGGTGGCAGTGATAAAAGTCATCGGTACAGAAAACGAAAAGGTGGATTTTTGTTTTATTGGAATAACAAAGGGGTCAAGAAGGAAATAACCTTAAGCTACTTTAGCTACCGTTTAGCTGTGCTGCATTCTTGCTGTGTACTCATCCCTTGGTCTCAAGCCTGTTGGGAAAGTGCTTTAAGACCACCTGGCATCTGTGGGTACAAGGGGCTGATTTGCAGGAGTTTCTAAGACACGGTTCTTTCATTTCCTTCCAAGCACACTGCTCACGGGAGCACAGCCAGAGGGCTGTCAGCAGGGTCTTCTCTGATTATGAAGGACATGAAAACACACGCACGAGCTCCTGTTTCACGGAATTTGGCACCCCCACATCAGAAATGTTGGGGAGCCGTCTGGCTAAGTCTTGAAAGGAGGAAAGAGAAACCTAACGCAAAGTGGAGTAAAGGCGGCGATCTCTCCGAGGAAGGAGGGAATTACCAGGTTAAACAAAGATAATTGAGCCCGATTAGTTCACTATAAAAATATAATCAATATAAAAATAGTTATTTATAGTAAAGGAAAGAACAAGCTACATTAAAATGAAGAAAATAATAATTTCCTGGGCAAGAAAGAATGAATTCTTAGACGTAGGAGATCAACAAAGTGTTTGCAAGGTATCTGATAATCTAATACAAAAAAAAATTTTTTAAAGGAGACTAATTATGCTTACATTGAATAAAATTACCATAATATATTCCATTACTTAACATAGAGATTAATGCAAGATATTGGAAGGCAGAATTTTGCTAAAGATATCCACCACTCAAAACAACACAAAACAGAAATTGTAAACAACTTTATATTCCTAGGAAAAGGGTTTTCTATTAGTGAGTGTTAACTTCCTGCTTCCCTTTTTTGGGAAATAATCCTAGAGTTCTCAGATATCTTAACACAGACTCGTAAAAAGCAGGGAGCCATTTCGTATGTGCCTGCCACACCAGCTTCATCACACTGAGCCAGGCTGAAGAGAAGCCGATTGCTGCTTTTTACTTGCACCAAAATATGTGCAAAAAAATGAGCTTCCATAGCTGCCTCTAAAACCCTTGTCAGTTCACATACACACAAAATTATAGCGTTTTGGCCCACATTTTCAGTTTTTACATAGGGCAATTCTCATAATCCGTAGACAAGATTTGACCATGAAGCATGGTAATGAGCTGTAGGCTGCCTGAGAGGGTAAATGCTGGGACCTACAATCATAAAATCTATTTAGTCTGGTATCTGGAAATGTGGTTTTGTTTTAAAATCTAGTCTCGATGTTTGATGTTTTTAAACAAGATATTCGGTCTGCCAGTGAAATGCTGCCACATTCCCATCGCTACACCTGCTCCGAAGTAGGCTGGGGGACGCAGGGTCAAATGCTGCCTCTTTCCTCCGGGGCCCACCTTCCTCCTGGCAGGTGCACACTGGCAGTTAGATTCCCCCACTTTCCATGAGTTCATCAAGTCCTCGCTTTGCATAAGAAACTCTTTGTGGGAAAAATATACTCATGATCTACCTCATACACCAAAAAAAGATTTCTGGCCTTAACTCAGCTTTCCATGTACACACAGGGTAACCTACGTTTAAAATGAATTATTTTCACAAATTGAAAAATGGAAGAAATCAGATTTTTAAGAGGTCAAGTTTTCCACTCTAAGTGCTTTGAAAAAAATTACATTCTATAATTACGTGGTAGGATATTTAGATTCTGAACATTTAAGTTACGTTTGAGATATTTGGGGATCTAAAATGTCTGTGCTTGCCTGCCGATTTTCACACCTGAAATTAACCAAAAGACCATCGGAACTAAAAGTGTCACCTTGAAATCCACCACAAGGACTGTGATTGTACAGAGTATCAGACCGATAGAACAGAAATGGTTTTACAACCTTTAAAGTCTATGATTCAAATCATTGTTTCTCATTTGGCATCAAACTTCAATTTCCTCTGGGAAGCATGGGTGGATGTTCTTGGCTGCACACACATACACTTGTTAATTCATCTTTCTATCCTCTTATCATCCATTTCTTACAAATGGAGCAAAGCAACAACAAGCCACCAGGAAAGCACACGCCGTAAATCTTATTTGATACGATGCGCTTTATTCTATAATCAAGTGGTTAATCTTGGTAAAACAACAGCGGTGACAAACACATCAGATCTCCAAATCTTCTCTTTTAAATAAATGCTTTCCCATATGCCTAAAGACTTGAATTAAAAATGATAAAACTTTGGCTATATGTTAACGGACCATAGAAGTGGGATCAGTGATCGAAGCCTGTACAACTATGGCAAATGAAGTGTTTAAAATTTTAAGATATTTATTCACAGAACAGTGTATAGGTAGTTGGTGTATGGGATCCCACTCCAACCAACCGAGCCACACCTGCCAAAAATGTATGGTTAAAAGTGTGTTCCCATTCATCTAGTTTGCAAAGATACCCGCCTTTTACTAACTCAGACATTTCCACAGCAAAGTACTTTTTTTTTTCTTTTGTGTGAAACCATGGAGTTAGCAAACATTTTCCACAACGAGAAGTTTATAAGATCCAGAGACAGAGAAGCATCGGTCAGACCGTCAAACCTCAGAGGGAAGGTAGGGGAGGGTGGGGGTAAGGGGAAGAGATCCACCAAAGGACTTGTATGCATGCACATAAGCCTAACCAATGGACACAGACACCAGGGGGGTGAGGGCCTGAGCGGGGGGAGTGCGGGGGCAATGGGGGCATAAGGACACATATGTAAGACCTTAATCAATCAATAAATTTAAAAAAAAGAAGCTTATACGAGACCCCCTCTGAAGCGACCCGTCAGGGAAACCACACCTGCTGGGTGGCTGGTGGGAGGACCCAGTGTGAAACTCAAATGAAACCAGAGGGCGGGCGCCACGTACCTTGTCCCGGGGCCGCGCCGTAGAACTCGGCCGCGATGCGCGCCGCCTCCTTGCGGTTGCCTTTGACGATGTAGAAGTGGCTGAGGATGGCCAGGCTGATTTTCACAAAAAGCTTGAAGCAGAACAGGGAGAGGATGGTGAAGTAGACATTGGACAGCTGCTGAGCGAATGGCCGGCCGTCTTCCAGCACCGACATGGCTGCGCAGGAATGTGGGCGGCGAGGCCCGCTCCAGTGCCTGGCGGCCGTCCTGCGCGTCCTGAGCCCCGGGGCTGACAGCTGGGCTGCGGCAGGAATCCCAGCGAGGAGGCCTCCGGGCTATTTATACCGTCCACGGGGCTATTTATACCGTCCACGCGGGCCGGCGCCGCCCCGTTGGCCGGACGTGCCAGGGAGGCCTGCGAGGCGTGCCGGGCCGCACCCCTGGCTTTCCACCCTGGGAAGGAACAGACGCCACGCTGGCCTCTGCTCTGAACGTCAAAATCCGGGTAGTGAAATCGCCATACACACTGTTGCCTCTTTCTATTATTATGATGATTATTTTGGTATGGAATTAGCGTGAACACGTAGAAGGCTTTGTGTGCGGGCTCCCTGCACATGATACCCGGACTAGCAGGTAAAACTAAGCCCATCGCGTCAAGCCTTGAGCGGGGTCCTATTTGTAGATCCTGAGCTCAGTCCCCACGCAGTCCACAACTGGATGATCTCATCGAGGGCTCATCCAGTTAGCCAAGGATGTAGCTTGGGCTGTTGTCAGAAACAAATAAAATTTTATACATGGAAAGCCATAGAAAATAACTTCAGTTTTCATTCAGTGAACACTTTTTAAGCACCTAGTACGTGTCAAACATTTTGCTGAATGCTGGGGAGACACAGAAAAATATAATATCCTTGCCACAAGGATCTCATGGTCTAGAGAAGGAGACAGACATCAGACACGTCCCGGTGAGGACAGGGTGTGGTGGGCGCACCTAGAGGGGCAGCCTCGCCCTGGTGCAGAGGAGTCAGAGAGGCCCCCCCGGAGGAGGTGACAGTGGCCATTCCCTGGACCCAGTGCCACTGACTTCAAAGCACTGAAGATAAAGTCACAAAATGCTCCCCTTGCCTCGGGGATGAGGTCCTGCCAGGGAAGCAGCTGCGTAGCCGTCACCCCAGGCTTCCCTGGGGTGTGGTAATGGGGACCACACATGGGGCGCCTGGGGCTGGGACAGCTGGCCCGTCACAGGCTCTGAGTCACTGCGCTGACTTCCACTGAGGCGCCCCAGGATTACCAACAAATCCCGCCTCGGTCACATCTAGGGTTTCACTCCTTCCTCTTTACCAGAAGTGCTATTATAACTGTCCCCACATCAGCTCATCGGGGGCCGGGATTCTTTGGGGCCGAGGGACACTTTTACTTCAATACGCTGCTGGCATTTGGCATCACCTTTAAATCCCCATAGCTTTACTACTAGGAAAAAAAGACTATGATATTTAGGGTATGAGGTCAAGATGCCTGTATTTTCTGTGTTTTATACACTCCTCCAACAACTTTTACCATCTCTAATTCTATCCTATCTAATAAAACAGTAATATGTAAATTAACTGTCACTCCATGACAAAGATGATGGTGCCCATAGTGGCCCTGGGCGGGACGCTGGCAATGTTGCCTTGGCAACACAAGTCCAGCATCCGTGCCCCGGCCACACGAGGGAGGGGAGGAGAGGGGCCTCCGGCCAGAGGCCGGGGCGAGGGACGCTGGGTTTGCAGTGACGCGAGCCCAGTGTCCGCGCCCCAGCTGCGCGGAGGGAGGGGAGGAGCCTTGGGCCGGAGGCTGGGGCAAGGGACACTGGCGTCATTGCAGGCCAGGCTGAGGGACCACCCCCCATGCACGAATTTCGTGCACTGGGACTCTAGTTAATCAATATAAATGGAAACCAAATAAAATGACAGTAAGCAAACTTATCCTATCTAATAAAGAGGGAATATGCTAATTGACCCTCACACTGTCACAAATATGGCGGCGCCCACAGCCAATAAGGAGGGAATATGCTAATTGACTGCCACACCCTCAAAGATGGCAGCATCCATAGCCACAAGATGGCGGCACCCAGACCCCTCAGCCCCACCGGGGTGGCAGGCATGCAGCAAGGCTGGGCCCACGGGCCCGGCCACTCCACGTGCCTGCCTTCAGAGACCCCCAGTCCCCTCAGCTCCCTAGATGCCTAGGGCCGGCCTGAGGCACAGGCAAGCTTCAGATGTCGGCTGCCCAGCTGCCCAAGGCTGGCCCGAGCCTCAGGGAACCAGGTCCAGTCGAGGCTTGCATTGCCAGCAGTAGCAGCAGCAGAGGTGTGATGGGGCATCACCTTCCCCTGATCCCCAGGTTGCCTCCTGCCCCTGAAGGCTCCTGGACTGTGAGAGGGGGCAGGCCGGGCTGAGGGACCCCCACTCCAGTGCATGAATTTTCATGCACTGGGCCTCTAGTCAAATATAAACTAGATGCTGTATTTTTCACATTATAGACCCTCCCAAATAACTTTATTAGTATGTCAGAGTCACCTGAAACATGGTGCCCCTATCTTCTCGACATTAGCATTTTCTTAAAAATAAAATCTTGGTTAGTAAGCTAAGTGATTTATTGAGACAAAACTTTCAGAATTTATATTATTGAGAGGACACGGTGGAGGGATTTGGTTGATTAGCCAGACTATCCCAACTGTTCTAATCTGCCTATTAGTCAATCAGTCAATCAATCAAACCAAAATTGAGCTCAACAATTGTGATACTGGAATGGGTGATGTGAGGGAGGTTACAAGCACAGGGAGAAATCATTGCTGAGTCTCCTGTATGCTGCTCATTTCACATAAATCTTACTTGCTAGCTCTGTCTAGAGGGGTGAGTATCATTGCCTAATTTTAAAGATGAAGAATTTGGCTTTAGACAGCTTTAGTGACCTACAGAGTTCCTATGAGCAATTGCACTATTGGAACACAGTTCTGGCTCTAAAATACATGCTTAAGTCACTGCTCATCCTCTCTACTTGTCAGCACTTACAATCTGAAGGAGCACATGCATCGAGAATAAGACAGCCACCCAGATCCCCCCTTTTCTCTCTCTCTCTCTCTCTCTCTCTCTCTCTCTCTCTCTCTCACACACACACACACACACACACACACACACACACACACAGGGACCAGTCTGAGACTGTATTTAATTGGGTACCTAAATGAGTGCCTAAAGTCATAGGGCAGGCTATACGTGATGATTCCATGAAATGGAATCCTGTGTGTGCTCCAGAAATAGACAAAAAGGAAAGGGGATGTGCGTGACTGGGCTAATACTTTTGGATTCTTCAAAGCTAAGAGTTGTTGAGTGACTCCCATAGAAACAACAGACAGGAAGGAGACAGAGGGGTCAAAATACAGAGTGGTTGAGAGTTAGTACATTAAAAACAACGAGTGTTCAAACCACGATCAAATGATTGAGTAAGAAGAAGAAGAATGAGGATAAAAAATAGAATATTAGATCTGGTCGAAGCAGTTCATGGGTAATTTCCAACTAAGTATTCTAATAAGATAATGGAGTGGATGAGGCAAGATAGTAAGAAGCTAGGAAAATTCCTTGACAAGTGGAATAAGGAAAACAGAAAAAAGTAATTAAACAAGGCCACACAGTTTGAACAATTTACAGCCAGCTAGTGAATCACAAGGTTTGGTCTTCCCTAACCAGGACCCTAAGGGCGGAAAGTTTGCAAATTGCAGACCATCCAGGGCAGAAAGGCCTCGGCATCAGTCCCTCCTTCCCGACTTTCTTGATGACATCCTTTAAAAATGAAACTAACGGGAAAATAATCCTGGCCCCTCTATACGCACATTTTGATGAATCAGCATCCTGAAGAACACATCTAGGAAGCGAATGACTATTCTGGTGCGATTCTGCCCTAAGATCTCCTCTACGCTCCCCACCAGTCAAAGGAAGACAAAAATCTCAAGACAAAGGACCCACGTGTGCTCTCCCTAGAGCACGCCCATGCCTCGTATCTCTGCTCTCTTTCTCCTAAACTCGAAAGGTCCCCACTAGACTTGCAACCAGGGGAGCAGCTGGCAGAAGCAGCGCATCCCAGGCTCACCCCCTGAACCTGTCTCCAAGGCCCCCTTTTTCTCTGACTTTCTCTCTCCTGTTGCTTCTTCTACCTTAAGCCCTTTCTTTGGTTCACTGTCCCCAGCTTTAATAATCACACTCTCAGAAACGTGTGCTGTGAAATCTTTCCTGCACGACGCCAAGAACCCACACACTACTGGCCAGCCCCAGACAGACCGGCTCCAGGCCCAGACCCCATCTGGTAACACGGCAACCACAAGAGCAGTGAAGGGTGATCCTAAAAGTGACTCCCAAATAAAAAAGGTTCCTTGGCTTCCTCCTCCTGTCGCCTTTCTAAGTATCAGCTTGGTTCTTTTCCACCACGTGGGTGTCAGAGGGGGGTTCTAAGGCCCCCCCCCCCAGGACTCCCAACCATTCTCTGCCCTCAGCTCTTGCCCACTTCCCTTTAGCATCCCAGGTGACTATCCTACATAAATTGGCATTTTTGTGTGTGTGCTTCAGAGACAGAAGTTCATGTCATTCCGATGAGGAATAGGATAATGACTCTCAAAGTGGCCATATTAGTCTTTAAATTCTCACAGAAGAGAGCATCTCATTTCCAGAGATTACAGGGCGCACCTGTTTTGCCTTAGCTACAGTATAGATCCAAGTCATTAGACTGAAAATGTCAATGGGACATAATAAACATTGCCTGTTTCTAGTGTTTTCCAGTTGATAAATCTTAGCGTATTTTTAAAAATAATTTTACTGACTTTTAGAGAGAGGGGAAGGGAGAGAGAGAGAGAGAGAGAGAGAGAGAGAGACATCAGTGAGAGAGAGGAACATTGATAAGCTGCCTCCTACCCACTTGAGATCAAGCCCACAACCTGGGCATGTCCCCTGACTGGAATTGAACCAGCAACCTTTTGGTGCATGGGACCAGGGCTAGCATAAGTATGTATTTTTATGTAGAGGAAATATAGTCACTCCATTGAAATGACCACTTCCTTTTTATTTTTTTTACAATATGATCCCTTATTTTCTGGTAGAAATCTAAAGGCTCTAATTGACATTTTTATTCCTATTATTTAAAAAAACCCTCAGAACTACAGGCCTGCACTTGGAAGAGCGAGGTTGCTAATGTTCCGTGCAGTGGCAGCCATCCGCCCAGCCCCCGACAGGGGCTTGATGGGGACTTAAATGCAGGCCGTGCACACTAAGGGCTATTCGCTGGTGCTGCTGAAGGTCAGTGACAGCTGATGA